TAATCCAGACTCTAATCCAGACTCTGATCCAGACTCTGATCCAGACTCTGATCCATACTCTAATCCAGACTCTAATCCATACTCTAATCCAGACTCTAATCCACTGTAATCCAGACTCTGATCCAGACTCTGATCCAGACTCTGATCCACTGTAATCCTGAATTTTATCCAGTCTCTAATCCAGACTCTGATCCTGACTCTGATCCTCTGTAATCCTGACTGTAATCAATTGTTATCCTGACTTTAATCCAGTCTCTAATCCAGACTCTGATCCAGACTCTGATCCACTCTAATCCTGAATTTAATCCAGTCTCTAATCCAGACTCTGATCCTGACTCTGATCCTCTGTAATCCTGACTGTAATCAATTGTAATCCTGACTTTAATCCAGTCTCTAATCCAGACTCTGATCCACTCTAATCCTGACTCTAATCCAGACTCTAATCCACTGTAATCCAGACTCTAATCCACTGTAATCCAGACTCTAATCCATGCTCAGATCCAGCCCCTAATCCATATTCAGATCCAGCCCCTATCCCAGACTTTAATCCATACTCAGATCCAGACTCTAATGCAGACTCTAACTCAGACTCTGATCCAGACTCTAATCCACTCTAATCCAGACTCTAATCTACTGTAATCCAGATTCTAATCAACTGTAATCCTGACTTTAATCCAGACTCTGATCCACTGTAATCCTGACTCTGATTCCTGACTCTAATCCAGACTCTGATCCAGACTCTGATCCAGACTCTAATCCAGACTCTGATCCAGACTCTAATCCACTGTAATCCAGACTCTAATCCACTGTAATCCAGACTCTAATCCACTGTAATCCTGACTGTAATCCAGACTCAGGTTAGATTTATCCTGTCTCAGGACCCACAGCCTGTTAGTTTCACTTCCTGTGAATAAATGAAGTATTTCTGTGTTTTCAGGTCTCATCCTCCTCTTCTACCTGGTCTTTTATGGTTTTTTGGCGGGAATGTTTTCTCTCACCATGTGGGTGATGTTAAAAACTCTGGATGAAAATGTTCCTCAACATCAGGACCGACTGGCCGATCCAGGTTTACCTTCAGACCCAACAAGCTCCGCCTCTTTGTGCTTCTGGATAAATCATTAATGGACTTGTTGGTTTTCAGGTCTGGTGATTCGTCCACARGCGATTGAGATCTCGTACAACCGCACCGACCCGACAAAGTACACCGAGTACGTCCAGCAGCTGGACGACCTGCTGCAGAGTGAGTAAGACCCRGTCAGCTGATTGGCTCTTCCCTGTGACAGGAAGCTGCTTCAAAGCCTCTGTTTCCTGTTTGTTCTCCAGAGTACGACGATGAGATCCAGGAGAGCAACGACTTGTGTCTGGTGGGGGAATACACGGAGCAGGACGACACGCTGGTGAAGAAGGTGTGCCAGTTTAAACGCAGCACTCTGCGTCAGTGCTCCGGTCTGCCAGACCCCAGTTTCGGATACGCCGAGGGTCAACCCTGCGTCATCATCAAGATGAACCGGGTCAGTAGCACTTCCTGTTCAGCGCCGGGCCCGTCCGGTCCGGTCCGAGCCAGTTTGACACTTGGTGTTTCTGTCTGCAGGTGATYGGACTGAAGCCACAAGGAGAACCCTACATCAACTGCACGTCCAAGGTGAGTCCCTGTCCTCGTTGTTGTGGATGTTTCTACCTGACAGACGGACAAATCAGAGCTTTGATGAACTTTAATGTTAGCACAATATTCTGCTGTCTGCTAGAGGGACACTCCATTACACATGATTTACTTCCCACCTGAAGGTCGCCTGGATAAGATGTTCTTTCCTTACTATGGAAAGAAGGCTCATGTAAGTAAACATCATCTGATCTGTTTGTTGACATAAATGT